TTATCCCAGAAAGCACCAAGATAAGATAACACAGCCAAAGCAGAAACTCAGAAATAGCCAGACCTGTCAAGGAAGCTTGGAGTAGAAGGTGTCATGCCATCAGGAAGGACTGGTGACTCCAGAGGCTGTGAAGGGCAGGGGGCCACAGCTCCTCAGAAGATGCAAGGCTGTGTGGCATGGTGGTGTGTGAGCGAGCCCATGCTAGTTCAGCATCAGTCATCTCGGGGGTATCTTTACCCACAATACACTTAATCCCAGACAATCTAGAGGTGACTAATGCTACTTATTGTTGGGCCGTGAAAACTCACTCTGCACATTTGCACTAGCATTGACCTTTCTGTCCACTGAGTCATTTTTAACTCTTATTTTTGCATGCAAAGCCAGGCAGAGCTCTGCTCCTAGGTTTTCTCTTCCTCATCCCTCCATAACACATATCACAGCTCTTCTTCCCTCCCTTGTTCCTGTGCCTATGCTGAGCTACTTTTCAGCACAGTGAAGTCAAGACAACATGTAATAAATACACAGGATTCCAATAGTTTAATACTTCCCAAAGCTTACTACTTCTTTACTGCGTTCAAACATTGATACTCTTCTTCCTATATAACTCTCTAGGACAAAATGATGCTCAGCTGGTAGTCCCAAACTGGCAGCTCAAATATATGTCTAGTTAAATACTTAGAGAACTGAATTGCTTCTTAGATGCTCCATCCACTCAAACTACAGGCTTTTTATGTATCTAGTGATATGGAAGGATTTAGGGGACAAATTTACAGAAATATTTTTGAAAACCACAATCAGTATTTATATTTGAAGTGCTTAACGTCTTGCAATTATCATCATCCTGTAGTTTTCCTTAGGCTCCCTGCCTCTCTCCTCTGGTTTATCACGTCTCTCCTTAAGGTGTCAAAATGACCACTAACATCTGAAAAGACTAAAAAGACATGATACTCCTTCTACTGGTGTTTGATTGTTTACAGAAATGTGCTTTTTTTTTTGATGCTGTTTGTCAGAATGTCTGATTTCTATGCATGTGGGAGGCCTACCTGTTGCGATATCTATATGTCTGCATTACAACCTGGTAGTTGCTGTCATGGTCTGTGGCTCATGCCTTTGGTTTACCACTCTGCTTTTCTATTTGCTTATCAGGCTAGTGACACACTGATATGCTCCATTACAAAAGTTGCAAATTCCTTTCAGAGGGTCCTTGAAAACATACTCAGCGGTTTCATTTCCATTCATAGCTTTCCAATTCTATTACATTTTTCCCCTCCAAGTTCCTCAAAGATAGGAGAATTCTTCTGAAGGATCTGGAAAAGGGTATTTTGATGGAGACTAATCACTAGTGGTCCAATAATCTCCGGATGAAAAATTTAGCAGGGTGACCAACACTACAACGAAACAGCCTGAATTAGGGGGCATTCTGTTGTTTAACAAAAAGGACAATGAGTCAAAAAGAGTTTCTTTTACCTGATAACGGAACTGCAATTGCTCCTAGGATACTTCATACCACTGGCTTAAAAATGAGAAACTGTTGCCTGGACCATTTGCATCTTGGCACACAATCTCTAGTTCATTGTGATTCTAAACAGTGTACAGGATCCGTAAGCATGCTTAGTCAGCCTGGCCAGCCACCTGAGAGCCATGAGCAATGTCTCCTTTATGACTGCTCACTTCTACTTAAAGAGAAAAGATAAAAAAGGCAAGGAAACCCATTCCTCTTGACTCCCAGAGACAGGATTGCTGCTCAGATCTTCCTTCAATCTGGAAGCAGCCAGACCACCAGCCTCTCTGAAAGCAGATGCACCTCCAGAAGCAGAAAGCAATGGTTTATGAAGGGTAAAATACCCTCTGGCCTCCTGTAATTTCAGATCTGATACAGAAGTAGTGGTTGAAATATTCAGCATTTTGCTAAAGGTCAGATCAGATAAGGAGATTACAACCTTTCTGACCTTACATACCGAAACCTTAGCAAGACTGAAAGCCTAAGAGGAAACCAAGGAAGAAGAGCTCTGGGAGCTGCTGGCAAGCATGAGACAGTGGTGGGTCCTCACAGGTGCCCTCCACTCTCTGGGTGCAGCAGGCCAGGCTCTGAGCTACAGTCCTCTACTTTCTGTATGAAATAATGGGTATCTCTGGTAAGCAAAACAGTAAGTGATCAGGGGAAGAGATGGCAGGATGGAGTTATCCTTTCAAGGTCAACCTCAGAAGATCTTGCATCCCCAGAGAAATCCCACTACAGACATAACACTATGCTGCGCTGACAGGCCTTCCCTGGCTCAGCTGCTGGGGGCAGCCTGGAGAACATGAATTTTGCAAAAGGAACAGGGCAGCCTGAATGTTGAATTACTTTTCCTGGAATATAGGTCCCAGCCAATGCACTCCTTAAGACCGTTTTTAGCTCATCCTATCTGCCTCCCAGGCAGAACATCAGAAAAGTGACATTTGTGGCTGCACTGCTCCTGCCTGGACTGACCGACAGCTGATGAGTAAGCAAGTTGTTTTGGGATGAAACAGGGTAAGCAGGGGTCTGCTTTATTGGCTGCTGTAAGCAATTGCTCCTGTGTAAGGCAATAATCCATGGTTGAAGTCAGAGGTTGTTGTGTTAAGCAATGCAATTTCCACTTAGGCTGATATCCTTAATGGTGAATGCCTCATGTGAGTCATGTTTTCAGGCCCTAGCCCCAACTGGTGGTCTAAACAGTCTGCTTAATTTTCCTTATCATCTGGAAGTGAGTGATGCCCTATCCTTCCCTGACCCTGGGAAGGGGAAGATATTTGCTTGTAGAAGGAGTTCCTTGCCTGGATCCTGCTGTAGAGATAACCCTGTGTTCAAACATCGATGAGAAAAACAGAGATTGCCAACTGTTTTCTTAGGCTGGGGTATGTCTTGCCTGAAATGGTCTTATGGCTTTCTCTTTTAAGCACGGCTGCACAGGGTATCTCCTCTCTTAGTTGCAGCCATCTAGCATTCCTGCCAAAAGCACAGTGAAAAACAGCAATAGGCAAGTAACTAACTCTAAGTTTTTAAGGTAGTTTTGTTGCTGAAAACCAGGGGAAGAGAAAATGCTATGTGGCTACTCCACTGTCAACCTAATCTGTGACTGTATGTTAGGAGTCAGAGCATTTGCTGCTAACTCCTTTTAACACGAGCTGCTACAAGACTGTTTCTGCATGTTAACTAATGTCTTCTCAGATTTTGTCCCAAGTATTCTCGACAAACAGCACTGCAAGATGGGATGGCTACAGCAAAGCTAGCATGTTATGATGTAACTTGTTATTTTGAATACTTGGTACAATAATTGTTAGCAATGACTCTTACTCTTGAGGTGCCCCTGTATTAATACTTTACATGTACTGTGCTTCTTTCTCTGAAATTCTTCAAAACTGGTGAAATAACATTCAATGAGAAATACCATTTAGCAGCTGCTTACAAGTTCTCATCAAATCCTGTTGATTTTTCTGAGTTTTACACTAACTTTGAAATGACTTTGAATTAGCCTTGTACTTCTAAGTGCTCTTAGGAAACAAACTTGGCAAAGAGCATCCAGGGTGATGTGATCAAGCAGAAAGTGCAAAATCTGGACAAACCAAACTATGACTTTTGATGAGCAGCATCACATTTGGAGGCAGAAGTGCATGGGTCAACTTTGTGCACAAAGACTCAACAAGCAAAGGAGGGAATTTTTTTGCTAGGCTTCTAGCAAGATTTCTTTTCACTGCAAAGAAATCATGCTAGATATCTCTATACAAAGCCAACGAACAAACCCAGCCAGTTTATTCAAGCATTTGGCTGTGCATTTCATGGTATCATTGCTTTCCATTTCGTACATGAAACCACTTCTAATGCTACGAGAAGGTGAATGCTTCACATACACCTGTAGTGGCCCTTTTTGCTGACTTGGAAGTGAAGTTAAGCAGCACAAAGGCAGGAACCACTTCTCTTCAGCATTGCAAGTCTGAACAAAGGAGTAGTGTATGTGCACTGGTGAAAAACTTTCAGCATGCCTGTGATAATCAGGTGGTTTAAACTGCTGAGTTCACTTTGGTTGACGAGAAGTCCAGCATGACCCAGCAATGTGCAGGGTCACATCCTGGGCTGCATCAAAAGCACTGTGGCCAGCAGGTCGAGTGAGGTGATTCTCCCTCTCTACTCTGCTCTCCGGAGACCTTATGAGAAGCTGGAGTGCTTTGTCCACCTCTGCGGTCCCCAGTATAAGAATGACATGAACCTGCTGGAGCAAGACCAGAGGAGGGCCACGAAGATGATGAGAGGGCTGGAGCATTTCCCATGTGAAGATGGGCTGAGAGAGTTGGGGCTGTTCAGCCTCTGAGGAGACCTTATAGCAGTTCTCCAGTACCTAAAGGGGGTCTACAAGAAAGCTGGAGTGGGACTTCTGACAAGGCATCTATTGATAGGACAAGGGGGAATGGCTTTAATCTGAGAGACAGTAGATTTCAATTAAATGCTAGCACAAGATTCTTCACTGTGAGGGTGGTGAGGCACTGAAACAGGTTGCCCAAAGAGGTTGTGGATGCTCCATCCCTGGAAGTGTTCAAGGCCAGGCTGAATGGCACTCTGAGCAACCTGGTCTTGCAGAATGTGTATCTGCCCTTGCCAGGGGTGTTGGAACTAGACAACCTTTAAGGTCCCTTTCAACCCAAAGCATTCTATGATTCTGTGCAAATGATCTGAGCCACTCTACCTGGCTGTGACCCAAAGATTACTGTTGGTAGTGTGTGAGTACCCATTAGGGTTTGAGTTCTAAGACAAATCATGAAAAATTTCTGTGTGCATCTACAGTAACAGCTAATGATTATTTTTCCTTTGAACTTTGTCCAAAGTTCATCTCCAAAACAAACTTTAGGCTAACTGTGTGTATTGACTTCTCAGCAGAATAAACATGCCAAATCTCTAAAAACACTTAAATCACTCATTCTAGCTTCATTTAACTTGCTTGTTAACCAGAAAAAGAAAAAAACAGTGAAATACATTGGCTTTATTCAGTTATTTATTTCTCTGGTGTGTCTATCAAAAAAATCTGAAGGAAAAAAGCAACTCTGGTCTCATAGTTTTCAGAGTAAGCCGACTCCTCTTCTTGCTTCAAACTCTAACTGAAGGTAAAATCAAAATCCAGGCTGTCTTGGCTGTAACACTCAGCCTCTACAGCTTGAAGGGCTGGTAGTAAAAGTTTACATGGAGGGGGGGGAAATCAGAGTTTTGGGGATGGGATTTTCAGAGTGTTTAAAAATTGGTTATGGACTCAAGACTGGAGGGGTGAGGAGGGAGGTGGCTGGATGGTGCCCCAGCCCCAGGAGAAATCACAGTAAACTACAAGCAGATCTGACAGTAATAGACCTTGTCCCAGGATTACTTGATCGGTTCAAAAGCTGTAGAGGTAAAGTAGAAAGAAGTATAAAAAGCAAATATATATTCATTAGAAACTGTGTAATATCTTAATTATACTAACCATAACACTTCTTGACAGTGTTGGATACATGAAAAATCTACTGCAGTGGCTGATAGATTTTTGGTAGTCCTGTCCACATGCCCTTCCTTACCTGTTATTCCATGAACTGTGTACCTATTGGTAACTATTTTACAAGCACTCTGATATATTCTCTGTGTTTTTCTTTTTTTTTAGTTCTCCATCAGCCCTGCTGTTCAGTATCATACCTAGCTTGAAAAAAAAAAAAAGAGAAAGAAAAAAAAAGACGGTGTAGGAGAAGTTGTCTCAAAAAGAAAAAGCCAAACGAAGTGACATTAAAAAAAAGGCATTTTTGGATTACTCTATTTGCTTTGTACCTTTTCCTTTTTGTTCCTTTAAGGTTTGTGTCTTTAAGGTCACATCCACAAACCCACAAGCTAGAAACTTCATTAAAAAAAAACAAACCTGAATTTCTTGCATAATTGTATGAGTCCAGGAGCTACAGCTTTAAGAAGGGCACTAAATGTTGTAAAGTTCACAATTAAATCACACAGAATTGGCAACCACCTGATGGAAAAGAACGGGGAAAATAAGAGTAATTAAATAAACAATGGCCCAATATTTTTTTACAGTTGAGAGGAAACCTTGCTGTAAATGCTCACTCACATTGAGCCCACTAGAATCCTCCAGATGATAAAACTGTGCGTTACTGCCCAATTACGACAAGTCCCCGAGTTACTCATCATGACTGCTTTATGGATTTAGTTTCACAATAAAATAATGAGTTCATCGTGACTTCCTGAAGCATCTGCAGAGATAATGCAAACACTTACTTTTATTCACAACTTGTGAGCATTCTGAAGACATAATGTGATGAGAGAGGCTATTTAAAAAAAATGGGGTTTGCATTGCATCAAACCCGGTCTTTTTGTGAGAGCTCACGCAAATTCCGCGGCGTCCAGAACATGTCCCAGTGCTTTAGCAATGGTGGCTCCGAGATAAAGGCGAGGCTTTAAGTATTTCTGAGACTTCGGAGACTTTCAGAAGGCGGAGACGCACAGGGGCATGCCTGTAACTTAAGCTAGTGTATTGCAGATAAGGACTGACCCCGCACAGGTTAGCTGCTCGCGTTCGGGCAGCCCCCCGCAGCTCATTGTGTCCAAGCTGGGAGCCGGGGGGACTGTGGTCCCCGAGCCGCCGGCACAGGCGGGCCCAGCACCGCCCCTGGGGGCGAGGGATGGAGGGAGGGAGCGAGGAGCCCCCAAGTCACGTTTATTTGATTTTCACGCCAACGGGCACTGCAGAAACCTTTTAATCCATGACGTGCAACTTCCTTGCTTTGAACCTGCTTATGAAAGTTTCTGACTGGCCATGGTTTTTGGTTTTGGTTCTCTTGTTTTGGTGTTGGTTTTTTTTTTTTTCCTTTTGGGAGGGGAATTAGAAAAGGAAGGAGAGATAAAAAAAAAAACAAACAGGGAAACTGATGCGGCGCCGCTCGCACGAAAGCAAATGGCAGCATCGCCCGGCACTGGAGTAGTAAGTTAATAAATAAATAAGCCAACCCCGCTGCGCGAACGGCGAGGCGAGGGAGGGAACACCCTCCCTCCCTGCCCGGCCGCGCGGCGAGCGGGGGCGCTATTCCTGCGAATAACATGGCAGGGCCGGCGGTGCGGTGCGGGGAGGGGAGGGGGAGGAGGGCGGCTCTTGGCCCGGGCAGCCGGGCCGTGGCGCATCCGCGGCTCATCCAGGGGGATGAGGCCGCCACTCTCGCGCTCCTCCCGCCGCCGCTTCCTGCGCGCGCCCCCCGCCCCCCCCGCGGCCCTGTTGCATCAACTTCCTGTGCGGAGCCCCTCGCGGCGGGGCCCCACGCGCCACGGCTCCCCCCGCCCGCTTCCTGCGCGCGACGCCGCGCGCGCGCCCGCGCGCCGCCCC